TGTGCCCAGAGAGGGCTCACAGGGGCAGGGTCTGGGGGCACAGAGCTCCACAGCCTCTCCCATGGGTACCCACCCCAGGTCCCCAAGCTTGTGATGGCTTCCTCAGCCCGACAGCTGCTGGGGCTTCTCACTCTGTGAAGGTCAGGTAGATATCTAACTGCAGGATCCACACCAGTTTCCTGTCCCTTTTCCTCTCCAGGAGTCCGCCTCCCCCAAGCCCCGCCCCTGCATGCAGTGGATGTTTTTTCCCGGAGTTGCTCCCCATGCTGCATGTACCCAGCACCCCACAGCACAGCTCTGTGTATTGTTTGAAGGCCAAGTGCGCCAGGTTACCTGAGATGAGCACACTGTAAACCCCAGAGGCATTAACATCCTGAAAGGGAGCTGCCTCTCAACAATTGAAAACATGGAGTAAAACATGTACTGACTGAATGAAAAAGTAGGCAGGGGTTGGAAAGAGAAGTAACAGAGGGTAGAAATCAGGAGCTGTGGAGCGGTGCTGCCAGGTGAGCCCAGCGCTGTGCTTCCCGCGGCTGGCAGCGGGGTGGAATCCAGCAGCACAGCGCAGCCTCCACGGGGCTGAATTCTGGCAGCTAGCAACAGAGGGGCCAAGGAAGGAAAGAAGAAGCCCTCTGTGATCCCAAGAAGACCACAGGAGGACTCTGAGTGCCAGGGGACTTGGAGCGACTCGAAAAGTGGCAGCACAGAGCAGCCTGGGCGCCTGGCCCTGCTGTGGGACAGACAGGCCTGCTGGCAGGTCCACCCCCCCTGAGCCCAGGTCACCCTGCTGCAGCCAGAGGCCGGATGTGGGTCAAGCTGCACGGAGGGGCCCCTGTGGTCCAGCCTGTCACCTGCCCTGCTGTCCTGCAGAGGAGAGAGGGGGAAAGAGATGGAGGCCCTGGGCCCTGAGCTCACTGTCCCCTCTGTCACCCATGCTGCTCTCTGGAGGTGCTGAGGAGCCTCGGCCAGGATGCCTGCCCAGCCAGACCAAAATCCCCAGAGCCTGTGCCGCAGAGATGCTGCGCTGAGGAGCAGTGTGTGAGCACAGAGCTCCCGGAGCCTCACCTGGCCTCACCTGCCAGCAGGTCCCTGTGCCAGGTCCCTCTCTGTCCGTGAGCAGTGGTGGGCGGGAGCTACTTCTGTCCCCTGCCTGTGGCTGACTCTGTGTGTGGAGGGAGTCACCCTAAGCACAGGCCTCCCCTGATGGCTCAGTCCTGTTTAGGTGTGAGAGTATTGGTCCCTTGGGCCCTGCCCCTCTTCTGCCAGGCAGGAGGCTGACTTTCTGCCCTGTGCTGCTTCACTGAAACCAAAAGGGACATTTGGTTAAGGTTAAGGTAAGAGATTTTTATGTTTTTCTTTTCTTTATTACTATCTTTTTCAAAGGGAAAGTACTCATGGACATCTGACCGTTACACGAACCGCCCAGGGTGCTGCTCAGGCTGGGTAGTGGAACCCTCGTCCACCCCTCCCTGCGGCAGCCTCCAGGGCCAAGCCCTTACCTCTGCAGAGCAGGCAGTTAGCGGGGTCCCTTAAAGAAACGGGGTGGATGGTAGAACTCCTTGTACAGCAGTTTTACATGACTTTATAGTTTTCTGTGTCTATAGGACTATGTTTAGTTCTGTCCTGCTTTGTTCTGTTTCTCCCTCTAATATAGAAAGGAGAGAAATACATGTAAGGACTCATGCATGTGTACAATCTATAAACATTTGATGAGAACTGATCTTATGACACATGATGAAATGAACAAATACTTTGAAAGAAAAAAAGGGGCACTGCAGTACCCAGCGCTGATTCCGGGGTGCCATCATGTGAAATCCAGCAATACTATGAATCTTTGTTCAGAATGATTTTAATCTCTATGATTTGTTTGGTCTCAACATAAATGAAGATATGGAAAAATGCGTACATGTCTAAGTGTATAGGATTGACAGCCACATGACTTAGGTTTTGTTGGATAGTTGAACAGAACTGTTTGCAGTCTCCCTGGTTGAATTCCCATTTGTATGTTCCACTTTTGTATCTTGAATAATTATTTGTGGGGAATAATATGTAAACATGAACTAGTGATTTATTACTGTTTATTTTTTTCTTTGAAAGTATGTACTATTTCTGCCCGTTTTCTGTTTTGTTTTGTCTTTATTTAAATACAATTAAAAAAAAAAAGAAACAGGGTGGAAGCCTGAAAATGATTTCTCGTGCAGAGCATTCTTAGCTTTGTGACTGTGGTGAGCCCTGTTTGAAACAGATCTCTTGCATCCCAACAGAAGCAGTAGAAAGAATTAGAATCTTATGTACCTGTCCTGACTCTCCAAGGTGAAGCGATCATTATGTTCTGCAAACTTGTACTGACAAAAAGAAAAACCTAATTACCCCCCTACAAATGCACCTGCCTGGGGTAGAGAAGCGGCCCCATGACTGCGGTGGGTGTCCCCGGGGAGGTGTGCAGGGCCAGCACAGCTGGAAGGCGAGACCCATTCCTGGGTGGCCAGGTGGGGCGGCTCCGTAGGACACGATGCTTTTAATCAAGTTGCTGCCAATGATATTTAACATTTAGAGAAAACCAAAAAATACACAATTTGGTGAGCCTGCGTATGAACTGATTACTTCTTTAGTTTTGTTTTTTGACTTTTTGTTTTTGTTTTGATTTGCAGTCCTAGGGCTTAAACTCAGGGCTTCACACATGCTAGGCAGGTACTCTAGCGCTGAGATACATTCCCATTAGTTACGTAAGCTTTGGAAAATGCGAACATTTGAAATATATTATTCTTTCTGCCTTTTTCAGTGGAAATTGATGTGAAGAGCAAGTTCTCATCAATCATTTGGTTACGATGCAATTTGTATAGGAAAAGCAATTTTAATACTCCCCTATAAAAAGCAATGTTATTTATTCACTTGGATACTCTTAGAGTCCCCTGGCGCAAGAGAGAAGCAAAGTACAAAACGAACAGCTTCCGTGAGTTGAGGACGTGGACGGGAGCACACAGCCCACGGCGCTGCGCTGTCTCCTTCTCCTGGACAGAGAGGCAGAGGGTGATGTGACCTCGGACTGCAGTGGATATTCATGCTGTCTGAGGAGCCGGTTGGGATTCTGTGTGCAGACAGGAAGGGGAGTTGCAGTTAGGGCCGAGGGAGCAGCAGGAAGCAGGCGGCCCGCTTTGGCCTCCTCCACGTCAGCCCACCGCCATCACGGTGCAGGAATTTATTCTAGAGCAAGAGCCTTTCACAGACCAGTTTTTAAGCAGGGCTGGCCCGTTAGCACACTGCAGTCCATCCGTGAGTGTACTTTGGTTGCTCTGGGACCTTATTGAAGTTGTACTCTAGCAAGAAGAGGTTCGTTATATTTGTATTATACCAAAATACCTGTAATGTGGCCTACTGTTCTAGATGCGTGTTTCTTTTCCTTTGGGTCACCTAATTGCCATGTTAATAAATGCTGTCCTCTGTAAAGAATTGTAAAACCGGGCTGAGAATTTAGCTCAGCGGCATAAGCACCTGCCTTGCAAGCAGGCAGTCGTGAGTTGGATCCCTGGTACCGATAAAAAGGAAAAGGACAAAAAAAAAAAAAAAAGAATTGTAAAACCTCCTCTAACTGATATGTTAACCATTGTTGCCCTCTACAAATAACAGATGTGGTGCTAAAATAAGCTAGCAGGGGTTGTTAATTACTGCTAGACTGCTCTGTCCTCTCCTGAGGAAAACAAAGGTCTTCATCATTAACAGTTTTCCTGATAAATTGTGATATGTACTTAAAGGTGGCTAATGTAGAGGAGCAACACACACAGCTTTTGCAGTCTCCAGCTGCGCTGTGTCGCTGGGCTCAGGGTAAAATAAATCAGCGCTTGCCTCATTTTTGAACTCGAGTTTGGGGACTTGTTTGTGGATTACGAGAACTGACTCAGACAGCTTGGACGTTTCAACTGCAGCTGTGTCAGGCATGGGTCCTCTGATTGACCTTCTGCTCCTGGTCCCCTTCCCAGGTTGTCTCTGAGCCCTTCGGACACACCCACAGCAGTTTCGCACACTTCCGCTGTTGTATAACCCTGTGATTCAGATGTCCCTTTCTCTGTGCTGGCTGAACTGAGGTTTAAATCGCTGTCCAGACTAACAATGTCACGTGCTGTTCTAAGGCCCTGTGTAGATGCTGGAGTGTTCCCTGTTCCTGGGTTGTTTGTTCCTCTGGCTTCTCTAAATGCACAGATTAAAACAGGTTTTTAAAGAAAAAAGTCACGTATTTGTACATGTTTTCTCCTTAACCGCTTCTTACTTACTTTTCCTTTTTTATGTCTGCATCTTTGTTGTTTATGATGAAAGTCTTGCTACCAATGGTGTCATAGTTACTGCTTTTGCTTTGTGATAAAGTCACAGCATGCCACAGTCCAAGGAAAACAATGCCCTTACAACTAGCGTTGTTACTGTCCATAGAGCTATCAACAGAGGGTAGGACTTCTTTCATTTGTCTCTGTTCTATCAGTAGACACCAGAAGTTTACTGTCATCATAATATGTTTAAAAAGCTTAAAACAAATTTTCTTTAATCCAACAGACTGAGTTAAGTTTGTTTGATTTTGGTTTGAATTTCTATAAATACAGTTTTAAATTTTTATTATGTAGCTATATATATAAACACACACACACACACACACACACACACACACACACACACACTTTCGGTTTTTTTTTTTTTTTTTGGTAACGGGAATGGAATTCATGACCTTGTACTTGCCGGGCAGATACTTATACCACTGAGCTAAATCCCCAGGCCAACACACACATTTTCATGCTCACAAGATAAAATAATATGTATTCAATGATCTCCAGCTTTTTTCTCTGTCTCTCCACCCAGAAACACCTTTTTTCTAAAAATAATCATGTCTGGCTGGGTGTGGTGGCACAGGCCTGCAATCACAGCCTTGGGGTTGCTGAGGCTGGGGGGTGGCCATGACTTCAAGGCCAGCCTGGGCTACGTAGCAAGACCTTGTCTCAAAAACCCAAAATCCAGCAAAAGAAACAAAAAATGACATTTTATTTCAAAGTTGTTTCCATTCTTTAACCTACGTGCAAAATATGTTTCTGTTTTGAGCTTTCTTGAACCAGAAGCAACTTATCACAGTGTTTCTGGCACTGGGTACACTCTGGAATGGGTGGGCAGGATATCCCTACTTCCTGCCCTGGCTATTAAGGCTCCTGTTTTGGAGGAACCTGTTCAAGAACATTCGAGCTGTTTACAATCTTTCCCACGTCCCATTTCCAACAGCTGCATTCAGTAACCTTCAGCATTTAGCTATTTGCACTTCTCCAAATTTTGTGGCGTAGTGTTCAAAGTGGGCTCACTGGGTCAAACACATGTAGAGATTTCATGCAGACTGTTTAATTTCCCAAGCATGGTTTTTAATCATTTTTCTATTGGCAGCAGCTTAATATGTAAAATGCCATTTTCTACAATTTCACCCATAAATTAGATTTTGCAGTTTTCCCAACTACAATAGCTGAGAAGTTGGATCTTAGTGTAGTTTCTAATTTAACTTCTCTTAATAGGTGGACATGTTTTCATATATTTCAGAAATTTTAATGCCTCTTCTTTTTGTCCAGCTTAATTTTATTACTATGCTCTCCTCTCCGGTGTCTCACCCTCTGAAGTCCAGGGGGAACGTTCTGTGTTGAAGAGCGGGATCCCCGGCTGCAGTGCACACTCCTTGCAAGGCATTCCTGCCCGCTGTCCTCACAGGAGGGCCCTGGAGGAAAGTTTCACTGAGCTGCGGATTCTCTGCCTTATCTGGTCACACACAGTGCTCAGCTCACTGCCTTTCAGGTTTACCTGAAACTATAAACCCGGAGGGAACAAGAAGGACCGTAGTCAGCACTGACTGTCCTATAATGACAGGAATGAACACTTGTGGCAGAACACCAGGGACATTACAGACATGCAATGCACACTTCCCTGTAACGTATACTGGGCTGTGGCGGACCGCCCAGCAGTTCTTGGCTGCCGCGTCTTCGGTGAGCGGAGTCCCTGGTGTGGAAGAAGCAGGCTGCGGAGTCACAGTGAGATGTCCGCTCCTCTTGGCATAAGGCCAGCCTCCTGTACCATGCTCACCAGCAGGGGTCACATCTGAGCGCATCCAGCCTGGCCAGCTGCCTCAGGGGACCTCAGTAGCCACCCCAGTGCCCTGAGCCAGGAGAGCAGGAGGCTCAGGCCACCTCAGTTTCCCTCTTTCTGTAGCCCCGCAGAGCCAACAGAGGCACTGAAAAGGTCTTCTTTTGCAAGGAGAGCTTTCACATCACTTGCCACAATGTCCAGGAAATAATTTTGTAAATAAAATGTCTTTGTAAATTGAAGGCCGGTGGCAATGGGTCCTCCGGTGACTAAAAGAACCATCTCAACCATCTGCTTTGTCTTCTCCCAGAAGGACTCATCGCTCTCGGCTGACAGCAAGTCTGGAGACTGCAGGTTTGCCTTGAGGTCCTCCAGGGACACGTGCAAATCCTGGGCCATCTTTTCTAGGGATTCGTCATCCAGCCCAAGTGGGACCTGTACAGGCTCAGGGTGTCCTCCAGCTTCTTTCTTTCACTGTCACTGAAGAGGCCCACGAGAGGGACGGCGGCCCACGCTCCGGCCTTCAGGGCCTCCAGCCAGATCTTCTGCTTCAGGGAATCTCTCTTCCCATTGACAGCGGCTTCCGTAACGCTGGACAGGCGCTGCATGAAGGCGTGACGCTTGTGGGCAGGCAGGTCCCTCACGAGGGTGCTCTGCAACTCAGGGAAGTCGTAGGCACACACATCAAGGCTGGAGACCAAGAAGATCTTATCGGCTACCACCCTGGCCTCCTGCAACTGTGCCAGACCGCAATTTCGGATCTCTTGCAGGACCTTGTCCTTATCAAAGGTCAGTGGCCGCGCTTTTTGACAACTGACTAAAGCATTATCAATTTTCGTCTGAATAAAGTACACCTTCTTCTTCATTTGTGCAATAGCTTTAGCCAACTCTATATCGATGCATTTGAGGCGGGTAGCAAAGATGATAAAGAAGAGGTCGCACTCAGGAATTTCCTTCAGATACTCCTGCAGTGGGAAGTCAGGGCGCCCGAGGCTGGGCAGGTCCCACAGTGTCACCCCCGGGCACTTTGGAAGAGTGTACGCAGTTGCCTGCAGGGTTATCGCCACCGGCCCCGTGGGAGCCACACCTTCCTCTTCATCCCCCGTCCCCCGCAGGGCATTGATGAAAGTGGACATTCCTGCTCCACTCTCCCCTGTCACTGCGATGCTCAGGGGCTCATTCTCCATGTCTTCCAGGGCAGCTTTGATTGCAGAAGCCGCTTCCCGAAGGTTCCCCTGCTCCAGATGTGAGCGAATGAAACCCCAGGCTTGCTGTGAGGAGGTTTGGCTCTTCATCTTCAAATTTTTACAAACCGTGCAAAGGCTGTAACAAGCAGAAGTGGCGTCCTCTATGTAGACGGTATGCAGGAGGAGGACCTGGGGGTGCCAACCGCACTGGAGGGAGCTGCAGGGGAAGGTCAGGGGTTGGCACAGCAGGGAGGCCTCGGGCTTCCTCTTAGATCCCCACAGAGCCTCCCCCCAGCCCCTTCCCTGGGCCCCCAGGCCTGGCCTGCACCTCTGGGCCAGGTGCAGATTTGGCCCCGCCCCAGGCTCATTCAGGGCCTGGACTGCCCTGCTCCTTCAGGATCTCTTCACTAATTTCAAGGTCTGATGTCCTGTGGAAATATCTGTGTCTCCTACTAGTTATATTGTTTTAGCTGTTTTCGTTGTTAGGAAAATAACTGCATGCGGTGGCCATCTAAAAGGTAGCGGCTGAGCACCACGTCCCTCTGCTGTGTGAAGGTGACGCCTGGCTGCATGGCTGACCCTAAAGCTACAATGGTCACGCCAGTGTGGTGCTTGTGAAAGAACAGACAGGTACCGAGTGGAGCAAGGCACAGAATCAGCGTAACTCACAGGAGCGCAGTCAAGGGAGCTTAGACAAGAGGCGAAGGCAACCCAGAGGACCAAGGGTTCCCTCTGGAAGCAGCGCTGGCCCAGGCCGGCCCTGTGATCCGGAGCTCACACCCTTCACAGAACTGAACCTAAGTTGGGTATGGACCTAAATGTAACAGGCAAAACCACAGAAATCCAAGAAGGCAACAAGACAAAACCCGTAGGACCCAGGAGGAGGTGGGTAAAAAAAAAGAACAGAAAAGATAAACATGAAAAAATCAACAAGGTGCACTTCGTTAAAATTTAAGAGTTTTCACTGTGTAAGGCAGTAGCAAGGGAGCGAAGACAGTCTGCGGACTGGCCAAAAAGTGTCTGCAAACACCCACGTGTGGCAGTGCACATCTGTGATCCCAGTAGGCTGAGAGGCAGAGGCAGGAGGGCCACGATGCAGGACTAGCCTGGCACACTTAGCCGGGGCACAGCTCAGCGCAAAGGGACTGGAGCCAGCCGGGCCCGTGTTTCAAGAAAAACAGTTACAAGCGACCTGCAATAGTATAACTCAAACTGTGCAGCGGACTCTTAAAGCCGGACAATAAGAAAACAAACAACGCTATGAAAAAGGAGCCGAAACCTTAGCAGACCCCTCACCGAGAAGACACTGAGATGGACGCAGGCATGAGCTTCTAGAAAAGGCAACATTATGAAACATTTGAAAACTCAGGGATTGTCAGGGGCTGAAGGCTGGCATGCGAAGGCCCAGCACAAAGGACTTTAGACGAGAGACAGCTGGTGTGACCACACATTTGGCTCCGTATGTTTGTCCACCCGTCGGCAACTGGCTCCGAGAGCCAGTCTGAGCTCCCATTGGGCCGCTGAGGCTGCGTCATGGTGGGCCCCTCTGCTGTACTCCGGAGGAGGACGCGGACAGTGTCTCTGCAGAAGCCTCTGCAGAGTCTACAAATATTTTTTCTAAAATGAAAAGTATTCTAAACAATAGAGGTATGAACAGAAAGAAAGGAAAACATGGGGATTATTTGCTTGGGGTTTTCCAGGAGCCAGCCTGCCTCCTCTGGAGAGCCCTCACCAAAGGTAGCCAGGCAGAGAGGGAAGCTGCTGGGCCTGTCAGGGCAGAGGGAGTCACAGGAGAGGACAGGTGTGAGCAAAGGCTGCAGGAGGGGCTAGAAGGGGTCCTGCCACATGCAGCTAGCTAAGGAGGCCTTGTCACCTCCCCAGAGGCAGTGGCTTGTCCTGGTTCTACAGCCTGGGCCTGATAATGGAAGAATCATTCCTTTAAGACAATGTACCAAGAAAGATATGCCCAGGACTAAATATAATGAGCGAGGTACAAGACCTGCACCTCACAGAGAGCAAGCACAGAATTTTTAGGCCAGGACCTAAGAAACCTCAAGTCAAGTTGACATCCGGGCAGCACTCAGGCTGAAGTAGTGCCTCTGGCTGCAAGTCTGGGACTGGGCACGTCCTTCCAGGGCCTCCTGGAAGTCACCTGCTGCAGCCCAGAGGGCAGGAGTAGCAAGGACACTCCGAGAAATAACTGTTCTGGGCACGCATACAAGATCTGGTTTAGCGTCCGTGACCAGGGATGCAAGCTTACTCCGTGGAGGTGGAAGTGAGGAGGCCTGATGTCACCAGGCAGCAGGGATGCAGTAGCCACGAATGAGCCAACTGTCAGCGCTTCTGCCTACACATCGGGGGTCTCTCACGGAATGGGAGGGGAACTCTGAGTGCTGGCAGCTGCATGGCCAACACATTCTGGTGGGAAAGCAGCTCCCCGCCCCGCACCCTGCAGCTCCTCTGAAAACAGAATCCCAAAACACAGAGTCAGATAGCCGGACAGTTAGAGAGCAGTGTCCAGCCAGGGCCTCAGTGAGGACCGGGCTAGCGAGACCTCAGCCTCGGGGCATCACCTTGTGCATTTCTAGAGGTGTCAGGGTGGGGTCACCTCAGAGGGCTTGGAAGTGTCTGCTGAGACTGGTGCTGAGCACATAAGGGAGCGGGGACCAAGTGACAGGAATGGGAGAGAACAGGTGAGGACATACAAATCTGTGGCTTCAGCAAATTCCGACCACACAGAGCCACGCCTGATGTCCAAGTGCCACACAGAGCCATACGCTGTGCCTGGACCTCTGTTAAATGTTAGTTTCTGCTCCACAATTAAGGTGCCATAGCCAGGGCAAAGCACTCCCCAGGATTCCTGGGGCCTCGATGTAGAGCGGTTAGGAGTGTCAGCCGGGTGTGAGCAGGAGAGAAGTGGGAGGGAGGGAGGCACACCACAGTCAGCCTTGCTCAGGGAAACCTCAGCAGTGCGTGCACACGTGCACACAATTCCTCATCTCACCCTAGTGGCTGGACAGACGCTAATGATTTTCGCCTTCAGCTCAGGGCTCAAAGATACTGAGTGGTGGGAGGCAACCACAGACTGACCCTTAGTAAGTGTCTGGCCTGGGATTCAAGGCCAATCAGGCCTCCTGCAAGCTCAGAGCTCTTTGCAGAGGCACAGCACACAGACACACACACGATTTGGTGAGGACGGGAGTCCCCGAGGCCCAGAGTGAAGACGGCCGGGGTCTGCACCCCTCTGGTTGGAGGACAGCCCTTGTCTCCCAACGGGAAGTGTTCAGGTGCCTAGATGGCCGTGTGAGGCTGGAGTCTCAGTAGAGGACCCTTCTCACGGCCACTGCTGTTTGTCACGTGACCTTTCTGCAGTGCAAAGGGCAGCCTGACAGGCCTCTGGAAACATCCAAAGTATTAAAACTCTCGGCTTGGTTCATGGCTGTTCCCCTCCCCCCCTCCTCACCCTTCTGAGTTCATAACGCCTGGAAGCAAGAGTCCAGGTTCTCCCCTCTTCAGACTTACTGATCTCCACTTCTATTTTTAAAGCATGTATTAATTCCAAAATATTTTCTCACTCACCAGGTCCTTGGAGAAAACAGGTTTGTGGTGTCAGAGTGGAGCTCTTCTGTATATCCCCTAGAAGAGCTGAATGTGCGGGGTGTGGTGAAGCCCTGCTGCCCACACCTGTCCTCCCTGGGCAGTGCAGGTCAGGGCCAGGCTCAGCACACAGGAAAACTGCACCTTGAGTGAGGAGCAGAGGACTGAAACCTCCCCAGGCTCTTCCCTCCTCAGGCAGGAATCTGAGCAGCAGCAGGGAAGGGAGGAGCCCAGAGCTCAGGGCCCTGACCCTGCAGGGACAGGAAAGTGACACTGAAGGTGCTCTTCCCGGAAGCAGGGCCACTGCCAGGCAGGGGAAGTGAGAGGCACCCTGGTCATTGTTTCTCATTGCTTTTCGGGGACTGGGGAGGACTGCTGTGTGGGGAGAGAACAGGGCGTCCCAGGGCCTGGGCACAGGTCACCATGAGCAGACTCCAGCTTTGGCCAGGCAGGAGCTGAGCCAGACTCACAGAAGGGGGCTGAGCCCTGGGCTGACACCACTCAGGGCCTCCCTGTGAGCTCCCACAGACCAGACTCCATGGCAGTGAGGCCCAGGCAGCAGCAGGTGTGGGCCATGTCCCTGTCCCTGGCAGAGAGTTGGCACTGGAGTTTCCTGTTCAAGGACTGTCTCTGTTAACCTACTGTAGACTCCCAGCAGAACTTGGGACTCTAGGCAGGAACAGATAAACAAGGGGCTCAAATCCAAACGTGCATTAGAAGAACTCACAGAAAGCAAGAGGCTGCTGTGTTTGCCCAGAGAGGGCTCATAGGGGCAGGGTCTGGGGGCACAGAGCTCCACAGCCTCTCCCATGGGTGCAGACTTGTTGGCCCACAACCTATGGATGCATTCATAACTCACAGAGTCTTAGGGGCCTTGGCATCCAGGGACTCTGCTGGGTCTCATTTAGGGTCTCACTGGGTGCCACCATTGGTTACCTCACTGGCCATGGGATTCATGTCAGTCTCTGTCCCCTGTCCAATGCAGAGATGAACCTGATGACTTTATATTAAGTGAAGGGAGCCTCACGTGAAAAGAAAATATTTCATGGTGTCATTTACGGGTGGAATCTGAAACAAGAGTCAAACTGAGAGATAAACAAAGTGAACACAGACATTCTGAGGGTGGCCCAGCCAGAGGACGGTGGGTCCATGCTCTGTGCCCCTTAGTTATATCCCAGGGGATGGCCTGGCTGAAGGACAGTGGATCTCTGCACTCCTCCATTACATCCTGGAGGGTGACCCAGCTGGGAGACAGGAGTCCGTGTTCTGCTCCCCTCCATCCCATCCCACAGGGAGGCCTGGCTGGAAGGCAGTGAGTTTGCAATCTGAGCCTCATCTGTTGCATCCCAGAGGGGAGGCCATTTGCAAGAGTGTAAGACTGATGGGAACCCCAGGACCCAGGACCACAGCCTGGCACAGAATGCACACACACCTCTGGAGGACAAGTGATGAGAGAAGCCAGTAATGTGGAATCAGCAGTGAGGAGGCAGCAGTTGGGCTCTGGAGACCTCTACCAATGGACACCAGTCCCAGCCCCACATCCAGAGGCTGAGATCAGCTCCACACCCAGCACATCTCCGGAATGTAACGTGGACATCGCTTCAGAACAGTAAACACCAGAAGAAGAAACTGAGCACAGATGCCCCTGTGAGCCTGCCAGCCACCAACGGGGCCCAGTACCAGCACTGGCTGGGAGAACAAGCTGGCCAGCTTGTGCATGCCAGCTGACATTAAGGGAGCCTCAGTGTAGCTGTCTATGTATGGGGAAGCCGGGGCCTCCCTGGGAACCTAGGTAAGGAGAAACCCAGCTGCATCGCCCACCCTTCTGCACTGTGGATGACAGCCAACGTGGGGAGCCTGAGACCCACAACTGCTTCATCAGCAGGAACTCAGGAAAATGCCAAGACGAAAGAGCAAAAGGAGGTCTCAGACCTCCGAGCCTCAGAGAACAATTCCATGAGACACAGACACAGAAGAAGCTGAAAGTCACACTCCTGTAATTTCTGAAGAGATGGCAACTGAAATAAAGAACAATTTCATGAGGCTCTGAATGTAATCAGAAAAATAACATCTCAGGTAAATCAACAAATGGCAAGCACAGTGAAGGAAATGCTGGGCACATCTAAAGAAGACCTAGATAACAAGAGGAGCCCTGGAAAGTGATGGAAACCTTGAATGAACAACATTGGAAAGGAATTACAGTGCGGGAAACAGAGTCACAGAGACATCCAGGAAATTAAAACTTCCATTAACAGCTGGCTAAAATGCCTGAAAGAAACTGAAGAGAGACTTTCAGATCTTGAAGACAGGATGGCAGCTGGTGATCACAAAAGAAAGATCTCTTAAAAATCCCAAGGAACCTGCAAATAACAATTCAACGGCTGCAAGATGATAGAAAGAAAAATATTTTATGAAGGGTAGGTGTCGGCAAAAAAGCAGTCAATATAAATGACATTAAAAGACTATTTACGGAAGTAATGCAGAAAACTTGTAATGCATGGGGAAAGGATCTGACACGCAGCTAAGTAAGCCACGTAGAACTCCAACTAGCCATAACCAAAATAAATCTACAACCAGACATAAAACAGGTGGACAGGTGAGGGCAGGTGTGGGCAGCAGGGCTTCACCACACCCAGCACATTCAGCTCTTCCAGTGGATATATACAAGAGCTCAACTCTGACAGCAGAAACCTGTTTTCTCCAAGAACCTGGTGAGTGAGAAAAAATTTTGGAATTACTGGAGACCTAAGAATAGGTAGCTCAGTGGCTGTGAGGGGGGAAAAACTGTTTGCTCAGTTTGGGCTGTAAGGGGTACGCAAGCTGAGGAGGGGTGGTGCGTGGACAGCTATAAACCACACAGACAGTGCAAGCATTCGGATACTGTCAGGCAGCGGTCACAGACAGGCTTTTCCCTTGCACTGCTGAAGGACCCTGTGAAAGACAGTGGCAGGGCCAGCCCCGAGAACCTCTGGCAGCACACATCCCCGACTCACACCTAGACACTCAATCAGAGCCCAGGGCTCTCATCAAACCAGAGGTGCTGAGGGGTCCGTGTTTTCTACTCCAATCCCTGGATGGACCTCTCCCCACCAAATGCTGGCCTTGGCCTTTGGCTCTTGCTAAAGAGCTCTGCACTTGGAGGGGACTTTCCCTTGGATCCCAGCCCTGACCTTGGTTTGCTAAGGATTAGATCACAGTTAGGACACAACCTGTCAGAGTCCTTGAGCCTTCATGTGACTGGGAGGAACCTTAGAATGGTCTTGCACAGCCACCAGGATGCCAGGAGGATTTATGAATGGATATCCACTCAAGGCCCTTAATAAATCCTCCTCCCCCTCTCCCCAGTCTCTCTCCACCTCACACTCCGTGAGCGCAGTCTGAATGGCTCTAGGACGAGGGGACAGGCACCTTGGGAAGGGCTCTGCCCAGCTGCCACAAGTGGACTGTTGAGAAGGAAGTAGTCATAAGCACTGTGAAATGATGTGGGAGAGAGCACAGCAGCATGGGTGTTGTGTGGCTGACATTCGCACAGGGGCAGAAGTGGATGTCCACCTCTGTTTCCTCCAGTTCCTGGCACTGGACCCCCACTCTCCCTGTCTGCTCAGTTCTTCAGGACCAGCCTCTGCAGACACGCCCATGCCCTCCCACGTGTCCTCCCCACTGACATCCCCTGGAAATGCCCAGCACTGAGCCAACGTGTGTCGTGGCTGAGGTGCCCCTAGTCGGTTCCCCTTTGGTTGCGTGTGGCTGTCCAGCTCCCGGGCTTGCTGGCTGTATACTGCAAAACACTTTATTTCTCAAAGGAGCTCCAGGGATCTGCTTTACACATAACAAGGAGAAGCCCCTGTAGCTGCCAGCTGGCAAGGTCTCCCCTCTTGTTTATGAGAAGAGGAGCCCGTGGCACCAACTCCATGTCCATTAGTGGCTAAGAGGTCACTCAGCCACCTGGTGACACCAGGGCTTCCCCAGTCCCCTGGCATAGAAAATGCTTCCATCCATTGCCATAGACACCAAACAACATCCTATGTACCTTCCCACTGTGTCTTTTTTCTAGAGTCCTGGACTGCTCACAGCCATGGGCCAACTGTTTTCCGCAGACTCCAGCACAGAGAGTAAGACCTTAGCCTCCAGCTTCAGCGAGTATTTTAAAAATTTCAAGCAGGAAAGCAAAGTCCTCTCAGAGGAAGCCAGCAGGTTGATTGAGTACTTTCTGGAGAAGGGGGACATTCCAAAAGCAGTTTCTATAGTTAGCTCTGCTTTGAAAGACATCGATAAATCTCCACTGAGCATAGAATTGACAGGGGAGAGTGGAACAGGAAAGTCCACTCTGATCAATGCCCTGCGGGACATGGGGAATGAAGAGGAAGGTTCTGCTCAAACTGGGCCAACTGAGACCACCATGGAGAGAACAGCATACAAACAGCCAAAGGTTTCCCAGTGTGTCAGTATGGGACCAGCCTGGCCTGGGGACCACCAACTGCCCTCCAGAAACTTACCTGCAGAAAGAGAAGTTCGCTGAATATGACTTTTTCCTGATCTTTTCTGAAAGAATATTGCCCCAGATGGGACACTGTAGCCTGTGAAGCTTTGGAGGCACAACAGGGGGCTCTATCTTGAGGTCACCTTTTCTTGCCCCTAGGCAATTTCCCTGTGGAGCCAAATGAATACCAATGGGCTCCCGTGCATCACTAATGCCCTTTAGGCACCACCCTAAGCCTAAGCTACATGTGTGCCCCCACACCTTGTGTCCCTCAGAGAGAATGCCAGACCCTGGAGAGTCAGGGGGTCACTCCCCACATTCTTAAAATAAAGGTCATTTTTATTTCATACTTCTTATCTTTTCAGGCACGCCGAAAATCCTATCAGATGGTTCCGTTCTGCGCCCAAAATTCTTTTTTTTTTATAATTTAAAGAAAAGGAAACAAAAGAATACATGGAGATTTTAAAAAAGGGTAGAAATGATACAAACTTACAGAAAAACAAACGGTAAGAAATTGCTGGTTGATAAGTTACACATTGTCATCTTAGAAGTAGCTGTTCATGTTATGGAATTAAAGCATTTAGAATGACATTCATAAAGTGACACTACAAACCCTTCTACTCTATGATCGAACAAGAGCTCAGTAACATGGTTATCAGTCCTACACATTTGTTTTACTTCTCAAAGAGGGTAAGATTAAACATATCAAAACAGAACATAGCAGTTAAAAAAACAATTTAAAGAAATACAGATTTCGTAGCAGGCCCACTGGAGATCTTGATTGTCTATCTAACTGTCTCTAGTTTCTTACAAATAGTTGTCCCCATCTTCACCCACCTTATATACTTGTGTATATAAGTGTATATTATAGTGTATATTATAGAACTAATCAAATCATTGAAGACTTTTTAGGTCCTCAAGTACCAAATTAGGGAAGACAATAGTAACTACCAACGCATCTCTCCTTCTCTTTGTGATAGCTGTCCCCATCTCTACATATGCTGAAATTGAACTCAAGAAACCAGTCCAATGTCATTCTAATCAGCAAACATTAGTATTGCTAGAATTTCTCTCATAATGCTACTAAATTAGCCTCGGGTTTCTTAGCATCTCTTCCTCAGAGTATCTGTTCTTTACATCTTACATTATATAATCTGTTCCCATAAATAATTAAAAAGAAAAAAAGAACCCATGTGTGAATTTCTACATATATATCTATCCTCTCTGTGTTATAGGGAAAACCAAGTCATAGCAAGACAGCAAAACAATTTTCTAGAAAAACATGCAATGGATAAAACATATAAGACCACAATATAGATGATCTTCCATAGTTACTATGTTTCCTCTTGTTATTTTCAATAGATTTGACCACCACACTGGCTTATTATAGTTAAATATAGTATCACCTATTTTTATAAAAACTTAACTTTGGCAGCATTGTAGGGTTTGGAAGCTGTTACTAATTAATACCAGTATGGATATTCTTTACATCTTGTCATCCTCAGAGTAGTTGCCTCTACTTTTAGGGTTGATACTGACAAGCATACCAATTTCAAATAAAATCAGCCATGGCCAACCCATAGTCTTACGATTCAGATTCAATTAAGATCAGTCATAGTAAGACAATGTAAGTATTATAGGATTTCAGTTTAAGTTAATAGGAAAGTAAGGATAGTTACCATGGTATAACCTGCTATTTTTGGGTCAAGATGTCTGTGTCCTCAAATCTGACATGAGTGGACAGACCAGAACAAATTAAATTCAATCTAAATATAGCACTAGGACTACGGTGTCTTTTAAATCGTTATACACCATTAGCAATGACCTCTGCTTTTTTTTTTTTTAAAATATAGTTTCAGAGCTGTCTATACTAAAGACTAGCTTACCGTCTCTGCCTCATGTCTGCTACTCCACTTTTCTACTATAATTTGTCCACCTTATTCCCTCATTCCACTGTCTGCCCCGTTCACTGAGGCCTCTCTGCCACTGTAGCTGTAATCCTGATATCTCTTCCTCTCTTTCTCTGTAATGTCCTTCAGCGCTCTCTGTAGGGTTGGACTGGTGGCCACGAACTCCCACAGTTCCTCCTTGTCTTGAAAGTATCTTATTTCTTCATTAATTTTTAGAGAGAGTTTTGATGGATATATGAACTTTGGTTGCATACATTTTTCTTTCAGGACTTGGAATATTTCTCCCCACTCCCTTCTTGACTTAAGAGTTTGTGTTGATAAGTCTGCTGTTCTTTTGATAGATTTCCCGTTATAGGTAACCTGCATCTTTTCTCTGGCTGCTTTTAATATTCTGTTTTTTTGGTGGATTTCTGGGATCTCGATTATTATATGTCTAGGCATAGATCTGTTTTGGTTGTAGGTAGCTGGTGTTCTGTATGCTTCTTTTATCTGGATATCATTTCTTTTTGCTATACATGGGAAATTTTGCTTTAATATATCTGTGAATATTTTTTTGTATTTCATTTTTGGATGTTCCTGCTTCCTCACTCACATTCTTTATTCTTAGGTTATGTATCTTTTTGTCATCTTCCAGTTTTAGAATTGCTTCTTTCTGGTCCCTTGTTATTTTTAAGAGGCTTTTTCTTTCACGTTCATATGTCCTAAATCTCTCTTCAAGTTTCAGAAGGCTGTCTTTAGTTTCTGTCAAGGCATTTTGCCAATGTTCAATGGAGTTTTTAGTTTCCTGATATTCTCTTTGGATCTGTTTCATGTATTCTAAGTTACGCTTAAATTCTTCTTCAGATGCTTCTCTTTCTTTTCTGATTTCCTCAGTTCTTCCATCTGTGTTCTCTTGGGCGGGGCTTGTCATTTCTTTAATTAATCTCTTTATATCTTGCCTCACTTGGATCAGGAGTTTAAATTCCTCTATGAGATCATGTAGGTACTTTTTAATTTCGGCTGATGCTGTCGAGTAGTGGATGGTTACTGTGCTTGTTCTCTTCAGTGTTTAGTTCTCCTGGGCTTATTTTCTCTTGTTGGGCAGATGGAGATTTTTTTTTTTTTTATCTCTTGTCATGTTTCTGGTTTCTTTCAGACTGTCCTGGAGTTCTCTGGCCCTCTCCGAATTGCTTAGGGCCTTTCAGAAGCCTGCTGGCTTGAGTTTTTGCTGTCCTCCCCAATTTACTATTATCTGGGGTAGGCTCGGATGCAGGGGCGGTACAGGCTAGTCTCTAGCCTCTGTGCCAGTTAGTTCCTAAATTAGGCTGTACTTTCTGGTTGTCACTGAGTTGTGACTATTTTGTATCCGCTTATTGGGCCCCAAGCAGAGGCTTGGTTTAGCCCCAGTATCTCCTGCCAGTTCTCTTTGTACCAGAAGCAGCTGACTAATGTCACTATGGCACAGGGTCCTGCCCAAATCTCAGCTGTTCTCTTCCAGACCTCTCTGTGTCAGGAGCACCAGCACAGCAGAACTGCCCAAACTCAAGATGTCTCCCACCAGTTCTCTGTATGAGGCTGAAGCCAACATGTACTCAGGCTCTGCCCAATTCCAAGATGCCTTCCACTAGCCCTCCCTACAGGGGGCTCAGTGACGCCACTGAGCTGTAGGTTCTGCCCAACTGTAAAATGGCTGCCACTAGACTCTGTGTTATTGATGTCCCCATGGTGGCGGGCACTGTCCCATTCCAAGATGTTCTCTGGCCAACCCCAGCAGTCGCAGGGTCCCCAGTACTCACCAGGGTCCACGCCGCCCACCTTTCCCACGCTCCCGGCACAGTGCGGATGGGTCAGAAATCCGCGCAGCGTGCACACCCGGTACAGCGCAGAACAGTCAGAAATCCGCGCAGCGTACACTCCCGGTACAGCGGAGAACGGCCAGAAATCCACGCAGCGCCTGGTACAGTGCGGAGTGGTCAGAAATCCGCGCTGCGTGTACTCCCCGTACGGCGTGGAAGGGTCAGAAACCCGCCCAGCGTGCACTCCCGGCACAGTGCGGAGCAGCGTTTGGCTTTGGAGCTCGAGAGTCTTTCACAATCTCCTCTGGTGTAGCGGGGCAGTCAAAAGCCAACACAGCTTTTCCTGTTGGGTCCATGGGTTAAATTGTTGATTTAAAGGCGCGGGATTTGCAGCTTCCCGTTTTCAGCCTTCACAGTCTCAGCACGACTTTAAATCCTCCAGCTGCACTGTCTTGGTTAATAAGAATCGTTATCCATTTGTCTAGCCCTCTCCATGTTGTCATATTCTAGCTTCTAATATGATTTCTCCAGAGAGACTTTCTGCCCGATCCTCTAGCTAGCCGCCATTTTCTCAATACCCGCGCCCAAAATTCTATCATCCAGTGCCCATTTGGGTCTCATAATGACCACACCAAAAAGCTGCCCCTGGACCTACCACGTGCAGGGTTCCAATCTTAACCTTGGTGTGTTAGTCTAATGCAATCTCAGACACTGGACCTAAAGATGCCCAGTGGGCAGCTGAAGCTTGGCACCTCTGCCTTCATTGTTCCCTCTACGTGACTACTTTAAAACTTTGGGTCAGAGCCCTGCTTGGCCCTGCATGTAGACGCACTGAATACTTAAGGAGTGTCTCTAATACGAGGAGTGTTAGCCCTGAATTTATCAAGCCTGTCTCCCTCCTTCACTATTGAAGACACCATGGTGAGAGTAACTGAAATAATCATTTCCAGGGATGGTTGGGACACCCAATTCCAATGCCCAGTTCCAGGGCCAGCGATGACAAAGCTCCAGCCACTGTCCTAAATGTGCAGTCATCTCGAATATCTGGAACCTTGTGGGCCACGCTGTGATGAGACCACTGTCTCCTAGCTGGAGCAGCTACTTGGTGAGCGCTGTGCCCTCCGCTCCCCATGTGTGAGCAGGTACCTCACGGCCCCTCAAGCCACAGGATTTGTCTACTAGTGCAGAACCAAGATGGAAGTACCGAGCAGCCGGATCCCAGCCCTCCACAGCTCAGTGAACACTCATTCCCATTTTTTCTGATTTTCTGAGGTCTGTATTGCCTTCAGTTCTCCAGACTGAAGTCTTTTTCTCTCTTCTCTTCCTTTCTTTTAGGAAGGGCCAGGCTTGATCTCTATCAACTCCTGAAGCTAAAGTCACTTGCCAGTTTCTCTTGCTCTCCAATTAAAATGTGTTCCTACAAATTCTTGCTGGTTGCAAGCTTTAAGGTCTCTGCACTAGCTGGGGGCATTGGGAGTAGCCCAAGAGTGTAGGTAATGCAGCCAACCATCATGAAGACAGCAGTGGCAGGCCTTTTGCCAAGGAGGAATGCTGGTCCAGAGCCTCTCAGGTGCTAGACTGGACAGCAGGGAGTGAGCAGAAGACCAGTGAGGGAAGCTTAATCTGTATTCCCAGCCACTACTCCGTGGTCTCATCACTGCCTGAGCTCCACCTCCTGTCGGTTTGGAGCAGCGTTACATTCTCTGGGAGCTAAAACCATGACGGTGCACACAGGAAATCTGGGTTATGTGCTCCTTATGCAAATCTAATACCAAAGCCATCTCTCCCCATCTTTCACCACATCCACAAAAAAATTGTCTTCCATTGCTTTTGCAAAAAGCAATTGCAATTGCAATTGCAAAACCATTGCTTTTACCAAAAAAGGCTGAGGACCCCTGCTTTGAGGCCCAAGCTCATTCCAGTCCTGTGTCCAGTGGTCAAAAGAGGAAACGTAAGTGGAGACGATGAGGAGCTCAAGGGTCTGAAAACTGAACCACCAATGAACTCACCATGAGACATGCAGAGTGCTTGCATTTATGCTGTCTTCGGTGGAACAGGAGGAATAAAACTGCTCTTCAAAATGCAAGAAACTGTTCGCCTCTACTTTGTCTACAAGACAAAATGAGCAGCTTAAATCCTGGGAAATGAATCGGTATCTGTGAAAAGTAAAAAAAAAAATTACTTCTGTGTAGGAAATGCTTATTCATATGGGAAAAGCAGAGATTTTTTAACAGCAATGGTTGTCCAAAGGTAGCGTGAAGAGATCTGGCTCTGTTAGTGCTGCACCATCTGGTAAACCTTGGGGACACACAGAGTGACTACGCCAGCTCCAGCCCTGCTGAAAGCTACACAGGAGCCCCCGCGTGCTGGAGCAGGGAGGGCTCGAGGGCCGTGAGCTGGCTGTGCTTTCCCGTGTGTCAGGCCCCCACACCTGGGACAGCGTGCAGAGCAAGGGAGACCCGACATGCAGCTTCCTGCCTTTAGAGCTGTCACTGAGCAGCGTCCAACCTAGACCAGGGAGGGATGTGGAAGGGAGTCACAAGTACGGTGACTGGGGCACAGGAATAAGAGTCCCCAAGCAGTGGCCGTCCCACTTCAGAGCGTCGAGGTAAAGACTTGAGTGAGAGCAAACTCACAGCCTGGCTGCCCTTCTGATTGCAGTTCAGGTCACCTGGCCTCCCACACTCCCTCCCAGGTCACCTTCGCTCTCTCCCTCTCCCGACCTCCATTTCACCTTGTCCCCTGGACTCTCGGCCCAGCCAGAGTTGAGGAATTCCAGAGACAAGCTAGGAATGGGCCTGGACAAATAGTCACCAGCACGATTTCTCTAATGCCTTCTCAGCCTTGCCGCCAGGTCCTGTGGCGTTTTCCCGAAGCACACTCTCTCACCTTTGAGCAGGGGCCCGGCTCGGGGATCTTGCTTTGTTTGGTTGAAGAAGGTATTCAGATAGTGATAAAAAGAGTAAAAATACCCAAATGGAATAAAAACAAAATAAATGACCACATAACACTAGTTGTGATTATTTTAACGTGTTTATGAACAGAAGAAATAAAAGGAATTAGCAGACTACCTCAGATTAACTGCAAGCTATTGCACAGTATCTCAGTGTCAGGTTTTGATCACATTAGGAAATACTGGCAGAAGAAAGTCCAGGCCAAGCCACTGTGCACTGCGGTGAGGTACCATGGACAGCCATGGCCTTCTTCACGGAACAGAGATTTCTTCTTCCTTCGGGGACCCTGAGCCAGGATTGGCAGGAAGAGCACCACCCCCAATGATGCAAGACCTGAGGTCCATTTCCAGCTCTGTTGGGCCAGCCTCAGTGCTTCTCCCTTGCTCAAATGTGAGCATTTATAATCTTATGCAAGAGGAGCTTAGCATCGTCAGCCACTGTATCAAGGAATTTTGAGCGTAGAAAGCAGGCTTTCAGAAACTGGGCGACAACAGATGTGACACCTCCGTTCACTGAGCAGAAGCTTTCAGCACAGCGCATGGCCTTTGCCGCTGTGCTGTCATCCTTCACCAGGGCCCAGAAATCCAAGCACCTGGTGTAGCCCTTGATATCCTGCACCGATGTGCCAAGCTTCATGGCAGTCTCTGCAATGGACTTATCATCCAAGCCAAAATATTTTCGGTAAAGCTTCAAGCACGCTTCCTGTTCAGACAAATCAAAGCCTTTGAGGATGGGCATAAAGGGAATGAAAGCCAGAGCTGAGGACTTCACAGCGTCCAGCCAGATCTTCTGCTTGAGGAAACCTCTCTTCAGCTCAATGCAAGCATCTGAAAGTGTGGGCAGCATGACTGCGAAGGCCTGGCGCTTGTGAGCAGGAAGCTCCCCCAGCAGCGTCCTCTGCAGACCTGGGAAGTCAAAGTCATGCAGCTCAAAGTTGGAGACCAAGAAGATGCGCGGGTCAGGCACTCCTATGTCATAGAGGTTAGCCAGGCAGTTGTCTCGGATCAGCTGGAGAACTCTCTCCCTCTGGAAGGACTGGGGCTTGCCTCTCCGCTCATTATATAAATCACTGTCCACCTTGCTTCTAACAAAGTAGAAGTTCTTCCCAGCTTCCTGGATTTTCCGGGCCAGGAGAGCATCGTTGCAGGTGAAGCGGGAGGAGGAAATGATGATGAAGCAGTCGAATGTGGCAAAGCCCACTGCTTCGAGGTACGTGTCCGGGGTGAAGGTGGGCGTCCCGGTCCCAGGCAGGTCCCAGAAGGTCACGTTGGGGTATTTTGGATGTTTATAGGGGGTTTTCTTCTTGGTGATCTCCACAACCCCAACCTCAGCCGCCCCTTCCTCCTCGTGACCAAGGCCTCTGAGGGCATTGATGAAACTGGACTTGCCTGTCCCCGACCCGCCGATCACAGCCACTTCCAGGGCAGCATTTTTGGCCTCACTGAGTATTTCTTCAATTATATCCACCGCAGCCCGTAGGTTCCCTTCTTTGAGGACTGCTTCAATTTTACTGAGAGTTTCTGGCGGAATGACACCTCCAGCATTACTGATGAAGGCAGCACTTTGAGACATAAAGTCAGCAGCTAATTGCTGGAAATTCTTTTGAGTCAAATTCTTCAGGAAATCTGAGATCAGGGCATCCATGGCAGGTGACTCGGGAAGGTCTGTAAAAAGGAGAGAAAACAGTCACAGGGAAGCAGCATCCAAACAGAAGGACAGGCCTCAATACCTCAAGGGACTTCTGACACGATTTTAGGCAGGACAGACAGGACAGGAAAAGGACATGGAGGACGAAGCACAGGTGGAGTGGGAGCCAGAGAGGTGGAGAGAGGGCTGGAGCCAGGATGCAGGGAGGCGGAGATGCGGGCAGACACAGGAAGTGCCTCATCCCACAGCCTCAGGGAGCCGGTCCTCCCCACATTCAGTTTCTGCACCCTAGAAATTAGCCTTTCAATTTTTGATCTTCAGAATGAGAAGAGATTAGATTTCTGTTTTCCAGAAAACTCGACACAGGCACCCTGGGCAGGCAGGACCAGCAGAGGGGAGGCCCTGGTGCGGGGCACAGTGGACAGGCTGGACCAGTGGCGTGGGGAAGTCTGAAGCAGCGGGGAGAATCCGAGCCAGGAGCTGGTAGATGAGGTGCTCAGCGATTTTGCTGCAGCACACAGACACCCAGCACAGGAGCAGGCGGGTGGGGCCACCATTCTGCATCAAAGGTCTGAGGAGAACTCCAGCAAGGGGGACCAGTGCCTGCCTCCACATCCGGAGGCCAAGCTCAGCCCCACACCCAGCATAAATCCCCCTGCACAGGTGGCAGGTCACACAGCACACTTGTGGGGTTTGAACTGGTACTCCCACACCAATGTGGATGCCAGAGGAATTCCACTGCTTTTCTTTCTCTTTACATGATTGATTTTCCTTCTTCGGTCTGGTCGTTCCTTCTTTCTTCCTTCATTATTTAGTCTTTTGTTTTCTTCTACTCATCTTCTTTCTCGTTTTCCGAACAATTTCTCTAGGTTTTACGATATTTTCATGTTAGTGAACACTGTCTCCTTCTGCTCCACTTCAAAACTCCTCTGCTTTGTCTTTCATTCTTCACCCCTGTGTTCTCCTGTTTCCAAAAATTTTGGAGATAATCCTTTTCCATTTAGCCTTGCTTCATCTATATTTCACTTAATTCATCTCTCTATCTGGTCCCCTAAGCCCCTTAACCCACAGTGGGGTAAAGCCACTTTGCTGAGAGGAAAATCATTGCATCCAAGTTTCTGGTATATGTTGAGTTTTGTTACACAACTGTAGAATCTGCTCTCATAGGTAAAGCATCAGCTTAATATTTATCCAAGCTTATCAGTAGTCAGCCTGCGTTTGATGCTATTATTATTGCTAATTGTATTTGTTTTTTGGTCTTTTTTGAGATGGGGTATCGCTATGCAGTTCAGGCTGGCCTTGAGCTCACTTTATAGCCCAGGTTCGTCTGGAACACACAATGATCTTCCCTACGTCAGCCTCCCGAGTGCTGGGATTACAGGCGTGAGCCACCACACCCAGCTTGCTAATTGTATTACTTTAAAGAGGATTTCATACCTGTTATAATCAGTTTTTCTTCTTTGTATGAAAATTCTGTCATTGTCTGGGGTCATAACTATTACTTTATTCCAGTAGCAAAGGACTGGATGCTGAGCCAAATACGCAGCGTCTTCTCATCCATAATATATTTGGAAAGTAAGTTCTTGAGATAGACACAAAGACCAAGAACCACCTACATCCAGAAGACATCGCTGAGGAACAGACATTTCCTAGGGAAGACTCAGCACTACAGATAAAGCTACCAACTGTAGGAATCTACAAGCACAAACACAGAACACTAAACTGGAAAACAGAAAATGACAAGAGACAGAAGAAAAATGTAGCCCCAGACTTCTAGCCCACCCAAGACAAGTCTAGAGCACAGTGAGTTAGAGGAAATTGAAATACTCCATCTGGAACTTCCTGAAAATGATACCAGCAGAAGTGAACAAACAAATGGATGAGACTATAGCGAAAATAATCTCTCAGGTAAAAATAGAAATGATCAAAATGACAGAAATTAGAGCAGACACAGATTTTAAAAATACAGGAGCGTAGGAAAGTGATGGACGCCATAAACACCCACTATAGGAAAGAAATGGAACCTGCGACCCAGATTCAAACAGAAATCCAGGAGATTAAAACTCTGTGAAAGTATATGCAAGAGACTGAACAGAGGTGAAGACAGAATATCAGATTGAGAAGACAGGACTGTGGCTAATGATCACAAAAGGAAAGTTATCTTAAAAATAGCCAGAGACTATGCAAAGTCAGCTGTAAGATGAAGCAAATCAGAGCAACATAAGATTGATTGGAGTCAACAAGAAAGCTGGAGACAGCACAAATGCCATAAAAAACCTCTTCACAGACGTAATGCTAGAAAACTCCCAAACATAAAGAATTTGACATACAAATAAATGCAGCATGTAGAACTCCAAGTAGCCATGACCAAAATAAATTTATGCTGATGGATATAATAATCAAGATTACTAAAACTCAGCACTAGAACAGAAATTAAAAGCAACTAGAGAAAAGAAACAAGTCACCTGTAAAGGAAAGCCTGCCAGAATCCCAGGAGACTTCTCAACACAAGTCCTCAAATCTACAAGAATTTGGAGTGAGGTATGTCAAGCCCTAAAAGAAAACAACCTCTGACTCACATTAATGTACACTGCAAAATTATCTTTCAAACTTGACGAAAAACTAAGATACTTCTATGACAAATAACAACCGTAGAAATTCATGACAATCAAACCAGGCCTCTAAAATGCTCTGAAGGATATTTTAGAAAGAGAAAACAAAAATCACAAGCACAAGAACAGCAATATAAAGAAGCCACCGGGGAAGGCAAACAATTAAACAGAGGGGAAAGATAGGAAAACAACAGCAAAATAAGATGAAAAAGATAAGCCGATACAGATCGCTTATCACCATCAATGTAAATGGTCTCAATTCAACAATCTAGAGAAACAGACCGGCAACACGGGTCAAGCAGCAAAATTCAACAATGTCCTGCATGCAAGAAATACATTTAATTCAGAGAGAAATCCAGAGACTCAAAGTCAAAGGATGGAACACAATACTTCATGCCACAGATGCCTGGAAAAAAGCAGGGGTAGCAATTCTAGATGCAGACAATGTGAACTTCAGAGTAAGACTGATGGATCAGAAGAGACAGAGTCACTACATACTTGTTAAGGGAAAAGATCAAGAAGAGACAACACCCATAAATACATACACACCAAATGCTGGTGTACCCAAAACCCAGCTACATAAAACTAATAATAGTGGACATGAGAAATCAAATGAGCACTAACACAGTTCTAATGGGGGACCATAACACCCCACTATCACAATCTGATAGATCAACTAGACAAAAATCAACAAAGAAATATCAGAACTAATGTAGACCTGTGAAAATATGAACTTAGTAGATGTCTATAGAGTGTTCAATGCCACAACATGAGAATACACATTCATCTCAGCTGCCCATGGGACATTCGCCAAAATAGACCACATACTATCCTGTATAACACACTTTAATAAAGGCAGAGGAATGGAAATGTCCCATGTATATTATCTGACCAAGGTACAATCAAAATAGAAATCAACAGCAAAATAAATCATAAGAACTACACAAACACTTAGAAATTAAACAATATTCACCAGAAAAACTAAACTTTCACAGAGGAAATTAAAGAAAAAATTAAACTACCTACAATTAAATAATAAGACTGATACAACATACTAGAACCAATGGGATGCAATGAAAGCAGTCCTATGAGGGAAATTCATGGTGGTGAATTCTCACATCAGGAAAAGACAGAGCTCAAGTAAACAACTTAATTAACAAACTTTGTTATGAGAGAGCAACTTATAAAGAAAAGAGCAAAAATTAATACAATTGAGGCTCAGAAAACAATACAAAGGACCAATGAATTGAAGAGCTGGTTCTTCAAAACATTAAATAAAATTGATAAAACTTTAGCAAACCTTCCCAAAGTAAAGACTCAAATTCATGCAATTAGGAACAAAAAGAGTGCAATCACAAGAGATTCTGTGGCAGTCCAGAAGATCATGAGTATCTACTTTGTGAACCTGTATTCTAATAAGATGGAAAACAAAGAAGAAATGAACAGACTGCTAGACACATGAATTGCCCAACTGAGCTGAGAAGATATCAAAATTATAAATGACCAGATATCAGTCAATGAAATTTAAATGTAACTAAAAACCTACCCGACAGAGAAAAGCCTAGGTCCACACGGATTCACTGTTGAAATTTAAAAGGAATTTAGACAAGATATAATGCTATTCCTGCTGAAACTTTAATGAAACTAAAAGGGAAGCAACACTTGCAAAGTCATTCGTGAGGGCAAGTATTATCCTGGTATCAAAACTAGAGAAGGACCCAATCGATAAGAGAAAACTGCCAGCCAATCTCCCTCCTGAACACTGACCAAAACATCCTCAATAGGACACTGACAAATGGGACACAGCAAGTCTTCAAGAAATTATTCATCGTGACAAAGGAAGATTCATCCAGGGATGCAGGGATGGTTCAATATATGCAAATCAGTAAGTGTAAGACGTCATGTTAACAGAGCCAAAGACAAAAATCACTCACAATAGACACAGAAAAAGTTGTGACAAAGTTTGACACTTATTCATGATTAAAAAAAAAACCTCCACAGAAAATTGAAATTGAGGGGTCATGAGTTCGATTCCCAGTACCAAGAGAAAATTGAAATTGATGGCCTTTACTTCCATCTGATAAAATCCATCTATGACAAATCAACAGCTAACATCATACTAAGTGGTTAACAATGAAAAGCTTTCATCTAAAATCAGGAATGAGGAAACAATGTCTACTATTACCATGCATATTCAATATAGTTCTGGAAACACTAGCTAGATCAATTAGACAAGAAAAAGAAATACAGATAAGAAAGGAAGAAGTTAAATATCACTTTTTGCAGGTGATACTCTATGTACAAGATCCCAAAAACTCCATCAAAAGACTTGTAGACTTAATAACCATATTCTGGAGCATAGCTGGACACAAAGTCAACACTCCAAACAGCATTCCTGTACAAAG